TTTAGCCCTGCAGCCCAAGCCCTAGTCAGCTGACCTAGGCCAGCCACAGCTGTGCCATGGGTCTTTCATTGCAGTGTATATATACCCAGTGTTGCAGGCAACAGACTTATCACCATAGAGCTTACATACATGGGGATGTGAGACTAGAACCGGTGTCCTGAAGCTCTGACAAATCAAGCCTTTCCCATGCCAGCACTCCTTTAGCTGGCTGTAGAAACAGGTGCTTTAGTCTGTCTGCCTCAAGCACCAGAGGGCAACATCCCTCATTCTCACTTACAAAGCCAAGACACTGCAATACACTGTAGCTTTGCTGTTCTGACCCTGCCTGAATCCTTGATATATTTTATCTTGTGCACTGTGCACTGCCAAGATTCTGGTTCCTGAATTATGGTTCTTGAACACAGTGAATCAAAACTTCATCAAAGGGGGTTGGCTCTGGTGGGATGGTTGGTTGTTTTTTTGCCACTTTGCAGCAAAATAAACAGATGGGGAGAGAGTGCAAGCCAGGTTTAATGGACCCCCTGGCTGCGATCTCATGCACAGCACCAGGATTTAGTTGATAAATGTCAGATAATGAAAGTTACTAACCTGTTCTGCAGGAATCTTGCTAGGGCAGATCCGCTCCAGCTTTCTTCATTACTCCTGGGGGAATTCTGCACCAAAAAATTAAAAATTCTGTGCACAATATTTTAAAATTCTGCACAGTTTATTTGTCAAAATAACACAATATAATCAAGCCAGTTTCAATTATTTTGGTAATTTGTTTCAAAATACCTGTCAGCAAGTCTGTTTGTAACAAGACAGACCCCCCCAAAAAAGATTCAGAAAATGTTTTTGATTAATAGATTCCTTACTAGGAATTAATACAGAACTTTGAGTAATAATTCATTTAAACTGCAATACAGAAGCAGTGCAAAGAACTGGGGAAGTCAGGGGTAACAGTAATTGCTGGGAAGCAGGCTGGGAGTGAACCTGGAGGGTTGTTGGGTGTTGATGGGAGAAGTATGGAACAGGTTTTTTTTTTGGTTTGGTTTTTTTTGAGAGGAGGAGGGATTGTTAGGGAGTTGGGGAGCCTCCCCCATTCGGACACTGGCTGACCCTCTAGCCTCTCCCATTCAGTCAGGCACATCTGCCCCTGTCTCCACGAGGCCCTGCACACTCACTCAGCCACCTTCATCCCCTTTCCCCATATGTCATAGATTCATAGATTCTAGGACTGGAAGGGACCTCGAGAGGTCATCGAGTCCAGTCCCCTGCCCGCATGGCAGGACCAAATACTGTCTAGACCATCCCTGATAGACATTTATCTAACCTACTCTTAAATATCTCCAGAGATGGAGATTCCACAACCTCCCTAGGCAATTTATTCCTGTGTTTAACCACCCTGACAGTTAGGAACTTTTTCCTAATGTCCAACCTAGACCTCCCTTGCTGCAGTTTAAGCCCATTGCTTCTTGTTCTATCCTCAGAGGCTAAGGTGAACAAGTTTTCTCCCTCCTCCTTATGACACCCTTTTAGATACCTGAAAACTGCTATCGTGTCCCCTCTCAGTCTTCTCTTTTCCAAACTAAACAAACCCAATTCTTTCAGCCTTCCTTCATAGGTCATGTTCTCAAGACCTTTAATCATTCTTGTTGCTCTTCTCTGGACCCTTTCCAATTTCTCCACATCTTTCTTGAAATGCGGTGCCCAGAACTGGACACAATACTCCAGCTGAGGCCTATGTCCCTGCAGCCCCACTCAGCAACACCTCCTCTCCCCATCCCCATGTTTCCCTGCACCCCCACTCCCATTCAGCCCCTGATCCAGTCTGTCCCCCCCACTAACTCTTCTGAACCACAGTCTGTGTGCCCTCCAGAAGCCCTGTGTGCCCCACGCTGTCCGTCCCCCCCATATCCCGTGCCTCCTCACTTGCCCCATGGACAGGGCGCTGTGGGGTACATAGCCTCTCCTCCTCCTTATCTGCAGCTTGCTGCTCCCACCCAGGAGTGGCTTCCCTCTGTTCTGGCACCACAGTATCCTCTAGTGGGAAAAAGGCGTAACTGCAGCAGAATGTATTTTCTGCAGAGAAAAAAAAATTCTGCAGGGGACATGTATTCTGCATTTGCGCAGTGGTGCAGAATTCCCCCAGGAGTACTTCATACAGCTGTGGCGTCCGCCCATAGCCAGACCGTTTCTGCATCCCCTGTTCAGCGGAGTCCCCAGGGAGGGACAGAGATTTTGATTCATGCAGAATATAAATTGTCCAACAGGTGAAGTCTGGGCCTGCAAGATGGCTGGGAGGGAGTCTCCACCAGGCACCCGATGGCCCTCCTGTCCTGGAATGGCAGACTCCAGCTAGCTACACCCTCGGCGGGGCGCTGTTAGGAGCGAGATTGGAGGAACACAGTGGGAGGCTGGGTTATGTAAGCATCCCTGTTGGCAGACCCAGGCCCCTCTCCAGCCAGAGCACAAAACGGCGGTGGGGTGGGGGAAAGTTTAATCAGTGCGGATTCCTCTCTGGGAGGGAGGAAGCAGCACCCTGCACTGGGGGCTGAGGGTTAGCGATGGGACCAACTGATTCTGGCTCAGATCCTGGCAGGTAAAAGCCTTTCAGGTCTCCACTCGGGGGCTGAGCATTTTGGAGACAAATAGAGGGAAAGGGTTTTTGGTTTTCTTAGAGGGGTCACAAGGCGCTTGACAGCCGGGAATGAGGAGACCCAGCCAGGGCTCTGAGCTGCACTCTGGAGCTGAGCAATGCTGCAACAGTGAAACCTGTGGTGACTTCACCACATCCCTACCCTGGCCTTAGGAGACCACTTGCCACTAAAGATGGGCCCAAGATGTGGAGTTCAGACCTAGCAAAGTCCAGAAGGAAGCAGTTTGGGGGTGTGGGGAGAGGTTGGAGCTAGGATCTTGGGCTGGGCCCATCACTGAGGCATCTGGTGCTGGCCACTGTCAGTCACTGGATTCACTGGTCTGTGGGTCTGATCCAATCTGGCAGTCCCTATGTTCCCATGTAAAAACAGCATGTTGAATAGAACTTGATTAACGACATGTACATAACAAACAGTGCACAACTGATGTAGACCTTTAAACTGGAGGGAGGGTCTTGCAATGTGCAGATGTTTTTCACCTTGGCTTGTAGGTTTAGTCCTTGGAACAGTAAGTAACTCTTCATGTTGTCCCTCTCTAAACTTTATGTTGCATATACAGCTGCTCAAACGCTCCTCATGCCCTAACAGTGATCTAAGCAGATAACTGAAGGCGGGGTGTGTCCCTGCTCTTACCATGTTTCATGGCAAAAAACATGGTCTATGCGCCTGCCTCATCTCCACCAGCAGGCAAAACACAAGCACCTTTGAATTATCAAAAGACTCAGAGATGCAGATTCATTTCCCCCTTCCAGCAGTTTTTATCTCATTTATTCTCTTGCTGCTTTATGGAGGATGAGGTCTCTGATGTTTCTAGTATTTATCGTCAGAGTAAAGTCTGGTGACTCATTGGCTTTGAAAGAATAATTAGCGAATCTAATGCAAGAAGGGGAAATGACAGAGCTTACTTAATGCTCGGCCTCTCTGGCTTGCCTGCTTCAGAAGCGTTCTGTCGCAGTGGGCCCTTCACGCATATTGCATGCTAGTTAGGAAGAGAGAATAGCTACCTGAGCCAGCCTTGATGGTAATGCGGGTGCTGAGCAGAACCGTTCCAATGAGGGGAACATCAGGCAAAGTCCAGGAAATAGAAATAAAGGAGAAATCCAGCCGCCCAGCAGCTTTCCATGAGTACGTTGATCCTGAAGCTGATCACGATCTAGAGTGGCACCACTGAAGTAGCACCAGATTTAGGACTCCGGCTTGCAAGCTGCAGAACTCTCTTGCCCCAATCCAGCAATGAACCTGAAGCCATAAAGAGCTCCACTGAAAGCAATGGGCCAGATTCTCAGTTACACTAAGGGCTTGTCTACACAGGGGGTTTATTGTGCACTAACTGGCCAGCTGATACGCCTTCTTTAGTTCACTTTAAAAGTGTAGAAAATTCGTTGTGTGCTGAGTTAGTGCAGACTCATGTTTGTGTGCACACACTGCTTGTTCATGCTCGCTTGGCAGTCCTCCAACTGCTATCCCACACTGCTTTGCATGAGGCCAGGACCGTCTGGGCTGTTTACCTGTGTGCCTTCCACTGCACTGGGGTCAAGTTGACTGAATGTCACTTCGCCATTTAAAAACTGGTGCGAAGCCAGGGGTGGTCTCCTTTGCAACACTCTGCCAGGGTAAAGGGGGCTTCCCATGGCAATATATGCTATTGACATCACAGAACGTTGCAAAGGGGCCTTAGCGTCAATGAGAATCGGGCCCAATGAGCTTGAAGTCAGCATGTGCGTACGTGTGCTTTGCTGGCTTGGGCAAGAGTACGCTGCACTTTGCAGGATCGAGCCTGTACTTGGGTGTCCTGGGATCAGCGTCTGACCCAGTCTCTCCATGAGTTGTTTTCATAGATCTATAGGTTCATAGACGATACGGCCAGAAGGGACCATTGTGATCATCTAGTCTGACCTCCTGTGTAGCACAGGCCAGAGAATTTCCCCGAATTAATTCCTGTTTGAACTAGAGCAGATTTTTTAGCAACACAGCCAATCTGGATTTAAAACTTGTCAGTGATGGAGACTCTACCACAACCCTCAGTACATTGTTCCAAAGGTTAATTACCCTCACTGTAAAAAAAATGCACCTCATTTCCAGTTAGAATTTGTCTTGCTTCAACTTCCAGCCACTGGATCTGATTTTACCTTTGTCTGCTAGATTGAAGAGCCCATTTTCAAATATTTCTTCCCCATGCAGGTACTTACAGACTGTGATCAAGTGGCCCCTTAACTTTCTCCGTGTCTTTGCAAGGGCTTTTCTGGGATTTGAACAAGAAACCCTTGTGCATCCAAAGCAAGAATCAAACCCCTAGATCAACAAGTCACTTTTATTTCTTGTCTCCTGCTTTCTAACTCAATTCATTTCATGTTTCATTTGCAGAAGAAATTGTTTCCATGGCTGATTCGACTACAACCGTGGGTGACATAGAAGGGGAGCTCTTTAAAATCGAGAGGATCAGAGAGGTCCTGGTGAGAAGAGAGTCAGAGCTGAGATACATGTGAGTAGGTTGCCAGCTTCCCGTCTCCTCCTTTGGATTTTCCTGTAAGTTCTTCTGGCCCCTGGGTGGTGCATCAGCCATTAGAGTGAAAAGCATCCCCAGGGAACTGCAGAATGAGTCACAGCTCAGGGGATTTTCCCCCACTTGAAAAGGAGCCTGTCTGGGAGCGAATCTGGCTTGACATTCATCACTTGTGAGCAATCCCATTTGAACAGGCTTTGTTACAAAACCAGCCATTTTGTCAAAATTAACAAGATTCCTGCATTGTGAAAAACACCCAGCGGAGTTGGTGAAAAATGTCACTGAGAAATTCTCCCACCTGTGTCTCGTGTGACTGGTTCAGTGCCATAGCCAGTGCCTGGTGCAGACTGGAGCAGGAGTGAAAGCAAGTTGTCTGGAGCTCAATCCAGATGTGACTGAGGTTTTCATAGATTTAAGCCAGAAGAGGCCATTATGGTAAGCTAGTCCTGCGTGACACAGGCTGTAGAATTTTACCTAGTAATCCAGGCATCAAGGCCACCACTTCTGGTTGAGGTAGAGCACATCTTTTAGAAAGAGAAACCCAATCTTGCTTTAAAGACGTCAAGTGGTGGAGAAAACACCACATCCCTGGTGAGGTGAGAGTGGTGGGTTGGGGGAAAGCAGCCAGAGGAGAAGGCTGAGGTAATATCAGCTCTTTGATTGAGGGAGTGCATCCACCATAGGCCATCCAAATTGGCAACTTAGGGGTGAATTTTGGCTTCCGGCCACAAACTCTAGGATCCCCATGAGACTAGATGTTTTGTGTTTTGGGTGCTTTTGTTTCTGCCACAACTCATACATCACAGTATTGGTGGCTAGAGCCATTCGTTGGGTCCCCATGATTTGCAGGAGCAAGGAATGTAAAAGGGAGTTTCATCTTTCGTTTTTAAGTGTAACCCTTCTGCCAGATGGAGCCAGCAGCAACAAGGGCCGGGTTCAGTATCTAGGGGTTCCTTTTCAACAATACAACACAAAACCGACTCGAGCCCCCGCCCAGTGACCTGGGACAATGACACACCACCCCCTGGGCGCCTCTAAGGGGCAATACTTCCCCTCTCACAAGTACAGAGTCTGAGTGTAGCAAAAACTTTTAATAAAAGGAGGGAAGTAACTCAGCATTAATTTGGGAAAACACCGCAACTAGGGTTCATAAACATAAACCACGAGCAAAAGACCCACCCCCAAGTAAGTTGGGCAGTGTCCTTTTCACCTCAAGTTCTTAAGTCCAGCAACCCAAAAGTTCCTTTAACTTGCCCGTCTCTTTTCTGCATCCCCCTCACAGTTGCTGTCCTTGGCCAGTGCAGCCCCAGAGTTCAGAGGTTCATCCGCAGAGTTCACCTTCCACCCTGGGTGGAACGGGGGATAAGGAGGCACCTTACATGCTCTGCTGCTCAGGCACTCACTTGTTGCCCCAACGGCCAATTGCCATGCATCTCTGTGGGACTTTGCTCTGGACCTCTCCACCAGTCATCCTGCTGGCCACTTCTTTCCACCAACCGCCCTGCTGGCCGTGCCTCTCCACCAGCTGCCCAGCTGGTCAAGATGTCTTCAGGGCCCCCCCACTTAATACAGCTCTCAGTGATTTCAGCTGTTAGTGGGGGAGCCTCACTGCTGGTGCACACTAGGCAGTTTCTTGCAATAGAGACACTGTCCCAAAGTAGATCTAATACTTAGACCTAGGTATCACTGATTTCAGCTCTGCAGCATGTAACAAGACTCTCAGCTGAGCCTAAATTAGCTCTTTTATTTTACTGTGGAAAGAGAAAGGGTCAGATGGTGTTTAAGACCCTTAAACAAAGCCCACTCCACCACATACCACTATCCCAACCCCCTCTCAACTCATTGGGCTTTGGAACCCATGTCCCCTGCCTAGCGACTGCCATTAATTTGAGGGTGAGTCTCTCCATCCGGATATGCCAGGTACAATTCTGCTGCCCTCGGTTCACACAACAAGGATAACAACCTAGAGCAACGAGAAGTATTTGTTTCAGAACCTGGTATGACAATGAACCCACTACCTAGCCCAGAGGTGGGCAAACTATGGCCTGAGGGCCACATCCGGCCCGTGGGACTGTCCTGCCTGGCCCCTGAGCTCCCGGTCAGAGAGGCTAGCCCCAATAACAAGGAGACTGGGGATCCAAGACCAGCCACAAGTGATCATTTGGGCAAGCAATCCCATCATGCTGAGCACCTAGGCAGGGTGGGTGTGTCCATGCAAACGAGAGTAGCGCCTGAAGTCCTTTTCCACAGCTCACCACTAGATGTCAGGGGAGAGCTCATTCAGACTCTGCTTACATCCGTCTGTAGCCCTTCCCCTTGTGAAGACCCTTCAGCGTGTCATTGACACAAAGCAATGTAGACCAGTCACTAAGACTGAAAGGAACAAGCAGCTGGGCCCTATTTCTGCAGCAGGAGGCTGGTGTGGGGAGTGAAATATTCACACACACAGTTCATATGTAAATGGCGTCAGCTAAATGTGGGGTGACCAGGCCCAGCACCTTGACACCAGGCCTGTGCAGAGCAATGTGATCAAGGTGGCCAGGAATCAGTTTTGACTGGTGGAGGTGCAGGATGGTAAACAACACAATTTTTCAGGCCCGCCTCTCAAAATGCTAAGGCTGGTTCTGCTGAGGGCCCAAGGCCTTGATACTCAAAGATCCAACTGAACCTGGCAGGCTGTGACTAGAGCAACGAGAAGTATTTGTTTCAGAACCTGAAATGACAATGAACCCACTACCTAGCCCAGCCCGTGGGCCACATCCGGCCCGTGGGACTGTCCTGCCCGGCCCCTGAGCCTCAGTCGCTGCGCTGACAGCGCTCTGGCATGCCGCTCCTGCTGGGCAGCGGGGCGGCGTGCTGGCTCTGGCATGGTAAGGGGGCGGGGAGCGGGGAGTCCCGGGGGGCAGTCAGGGGACAGGGAGTGGTTGGATGGGGCTGAGGTTTGGGGGGGGCGGTCAGGGAATGAGGAGCAGGGGGGACTGGCTAGGCGTGGGAGTCCCAGGGGGCCTGTTAGGGAGCGGGGGTGTGGATAGGGGTTGGGGGAGTCAGGGGACAGGGAGCGGGGGGTTGGATGGGTCAGGGGTTCTGGGGGGGGCAGTCGGGACAGGGAGCAGGGGGCGGTTGGATAGGCGTGGGAGTCCTGGGGAGCCTGTCAGGGGGTGGGGGTGTGGATAGGGGTTGGGGCAGTCAGGGCACAGGGAGAAGGGGGGGGTGGATAGGGGGTGGGGTCCTGGGGAGCAGTTAGGGGCAGGGGATCCCGGGAGGCCCCTAACTGCCCCCCAGGGACCCCACCCCCTATGGGGGGCCCTCCATATAGTTTTGCAACCCCGATGTGGCCCTCGGGCCAAAACGTTTGCCTACCCCTGACCTAGCCCAAGGTCATCGGAAGATTTGCTGAGATTCCCTGCAACTTTATTTGTAACTATGACTCATGTAATCGCTTGGTGTCTGAGCACTAAAGGGGAATTTAAACTGCCTGTATCAGAGACACAACAGCTGGAAGCTGAGATATGACTTGGCTAACAGCAGGGATGAGCCTACCCTTCACTTCAGAAGCATGACTCACATGACAGGATCTTAACTACACAAGAAAGTTGCATTGCTATAGTGTGAGTTGAGAATTTAAACCAATATAGTTAAAGCTGTGCAAAAGGCTGAGAAGACATGCTTATTTCTCGAGCTTGTCAGAAGGCAGAATTTCCAGTCCATGGGAAATTCTGAAATTTAAAAAATATAATTCCAAATTGGAACAAAAAGCCAAAATCTTGAAATTTCCCATGGAATGAAAAAAATCAAAAAAATTCCATTTGATATCATTGAAGTGTTTTGTTTCAGTAATGTCAGAACGTTGAATTTAGACTTTTATGTTATACTGAAACATTAAATCTAATAGATTATGTGGGGTATGAAATGTAATATTAAAACAAATGTTTTACTGTAATAAACGCTGAAACAAACCATTTTTACTTTATCAGAATGACATGGTTGACATCACTGAAACAAAACAAGAAAGTCAAAATTGTTCCCTTTGAAAACTTCAGTGAAATTTGACATGTTCTTGCAAAATGTTTTGATTTTGACAAACTGCATGTTCAGACCCGAATTTTTCCCCCACAAACTACCCATTTTGCTGTAGGATGGGATACTATTTAGCTTAAGTTGATTTGGAACAAGTTTAATTAAACCAATATAAGCCATTCTTACACCAAAATAAAAGTGTGCATACAGCCTTTGGTTTAACACTATCCGTTTAAAGGCCAGTTCATGTTATATCAGTATAACTTTCTCATGTAAACAGGCCTTAACCCCTTACTGGGATGCATGGTCCTTTACAGCAGCAATGGGTCATGGGGACATATAAAAGGGTAGGTAAATATATTTGGTATTTCCCCCTTCTCCCCTCTCCACTGGTTTCTTCAGTGCTTCAGAGTATAATTTCCCCTTTCTTCAAGTCCTTCCCCAGAGGAGGGAGCTTTCCATGAGGCCCCGGCCCGTGGGATGCAGAAAGATATTCTGAACTGGCCGGTGATGAGGGACAAAATGCCCCCACCCTGTTGGCATGTCCACAGTGACCCTGACTGCTGTCATTTGGGGAGCATGAGGTGGGGCTTGGGATGGGAACCTGAATCTAGTGCAGAGCATTACTGGTCCGCCAAGAAAGTGGCACTCCCAGATATCCGTGTCTGTCTACATGTCGCTCTCAAATAGCCGCATGTCTCAGATATAGCTGTTTCTGCACTGACCTGTAGCGTCACTGTAAAGCCTCTTCCTAAAACTCTCCTATGCTTCCCCTTCCCAGGGCCTCCTTGGGGAATCCTCTCTGATCAAATCAAGACAAAGGGGAAACACTGCACATGAAAGTCTTGATTAGCATCAGTGCCTGATCCCCACCTGCGCCATCACCTTTTCTTCCCTGACTCAGCACAGTGACTGCTGCAGCCTTTGCAGCCAGAAACCAAAGAAGGGGATTTTCCCTGGGA